CTGCATTTCCTCTTGTCTCAGTGAGGTCTGAGAGCCCCGTTTCGTAGGTGGCTCTCCAATGCCCAGTCTAAATGATGATTGAATATTTTTTCAGAGGTTTCAGTCCCAATTCTCAGGACTTTCCTTATTTTCCTCCCTCCCCTGGAGATTGCCTAGCAATCCAGCTCTTGTATTTTGAGGGAGCAGAGTTGACCTTAATATCTGCCATTTAACAAATGCAGAAACAAAGGCACGGCAGGAAGCAGAAGCCAGGGTCTCTGGGAGTCCCCCCCCCACACACACAAACCTCTGGCCTGAAGTTGGGTTTTGTCCTCAGCAGCTCATAGAGGACACTGTCAGCCTTTGATAAACCTTGCTGGGCCAGCCCAGAACAGACCTCTCACCTTCCTAAACACCTTATACCAGACGGCTGGAGCCACATGAGTCCAGGGTGCCTGTGAGAGCCAGAGAAACTCACCATCCATGCAGCAAACGCATGTGAGTGCCTTGTCTGTCCTAAACACCTCCTCCATACATGGAATACCACGCAGCCATCAGGAAGACTGCGCCAGCGATATAAGACTCTTGAGGAAGCCAAGATATAGGAAATGGAAACAGTAAGGTGCTGTGTAGTGTGCTACTTCTGAGATTAAAAGAAAAAGAAAGAATATACCAAATAAGTATGTTGTATACCCATAGAACATCCAACAATACAAAGATACAAAAGAAAGATACAAAAGAAAATAGTAACAGTATTGCATGTGATGAGAATTAAGCAGCTGAGGATAGAGTGGGAAGGAGACTTCCTTTTCACAGTGTTCTCTTTTGAACCCTTTAATTGTTGTTCCATATGTCTGCATTACCTATGAAAAATGGCAATCAAAAGAGGACCCTTTCCGCTTAAGGAGCTTAGGGAGAAGGCAGACATGCAAACAATTACAATGCACTATGCTCATTCTTATCATTGAGATGGAGACAGAGTGGGAAGGGAGTATAGGAGAGAGACCATCCATGTGGGCTTGGGGGCATCGGGGAATTGGACTTGTCATAGTGAATGCTGGAACAGCTCTCAGCTCAGCCTTGCCAGGGCCTAAAGAGCACAGGGAGGAGGGACCCGCGGCAGAGCTGCAGGGGCAGGCAGAGACCAGAACAAGAACTGCCTTGTGTGCCAAGCTAAGGAGCTGCGATTTTATCCTAATAGGAAATGGGCAGCTGTTAAAAAATTTTCAGCAGGAGAGTGACCTGTTCAGATTTGCTATTTAGGGAGAGGACTCTGGCAGGAACATGGAAGGATAGATTAACAGGGGCAAGGATGAGGCAGGGATACTGGTTTTAAGGTTAAGGCAAGAATCTAGGTGAGAGAAGGCGGATGGATGGCCTGGAGCCAAGGGAGCGGGATGGAGGAGAGGGGATGAAACCTGAGACATACAATGGGCCCGAAATGTGTATGGAGACCACGTACAGATCCAGCTCTGCCGCTCTTCATCTTCTCCCGCTGGCATCCTCTGCACATTCAGGGTCCCAACACCCCCAGCAGCTGGCAGGATGGGTCAGGAGGGGCCGCTTCCTGGTCTGCTTGCCTGCCTCCTTGCCCCAGGCTCCAGCTCCTTGGCGAAGAGGGGCAGAAAAAAGAGAACAGAAGCCTCTCCCTCGCCATGCAACTCCCAGGTCTCTCTTATTTATTCCACGCTCTCTCTCTCTCCCGATTCGGGTCCTCTCATTATTTCTGAGCGTACAGCTTGCTGCTTCCCTGGCTTGGCTCTCCCACCCCCGTCTGCGAAGTGTCAATCAAGCCATCAGATGAGCAGTTCGGCCTCACATCCTCAGCAGCTCTGCCCCCCAGGACACAAGCAGCAATTGCTGACACACAGCAGCCTGGTGTGGGGCTGTTGGCTCTCCCTTCAATAGTCTTCCGATCCAGAATGGGTGTTAAAATGGAATTTGAGGGGATCGCTTCTCTCTGCCTGCCCCTGTCAGGACAGCCACAAGGATGGGCAACCCTGAGAGAGGGGGGAAGCCTTCAGAAGTCGATTTGCTTTTCATTTCAAGGTTGGGCCGTGGCCAGTGTCTGCGTTTGGAGGAGCCGTTTGAAATTCTTAACAAGAAGCAGAATGCTAGAGTCCAGGAATCCAGGGCAGGCTTGTGAAGTAGGGATGGAGAAATGGAATTGTCACGTTATTTCTGAAGGGATGTTATATTAAAGGAGAGGTGGGGTAGAGAGCCGCTTTGTAGCTTCCCTGGAGGACAACGAACAATAAGAGATGTCAGGGGAAGCAGGAAGAACGGATTAGAACAAAGAGAGAACTTCCCCAGGCCCTGGAACCGGTGACCAGGGAGATCTGAAGCCTCTGAAATCCCCAGGGGACTTCTTCGTTTACAAATTGTGAATGGAAGCGCAATTTTTGTAGAATATGGAAACTAATGAGCATTAAGCTCAATTACCTTGCCAAATTCTCTTTAGGTCTTTGATAACACACACACATAACTCGTGGTTGTGATCCACGTGCATCTAGTTGCATTCTGCTTCTCTCTCTCAGTGTGATTTCATATACATTTCCGCGTAGCCCACAGTCCCCACGCTCATCATTTTGAATCGTACATAGTATTCCATTGTCTCAATGTGCCAGTCGTTCAGCTATTCCCTGTGGCTGGGTTGTTTCCAGTTTTTTATATTATAGGAGCACAGCTATGAATATCTTCATACAAATATCTTTTTCTCCCCCTGGGGTATAGTCAAATTTCTAGGTCAGAAGGTTTGAACCACTTCACTATTCTTGCACACTGGCCCAGCACTCCCCAGAGGCCCAGACAGTCTGAGTTGCCACCCGACTCTCTCGGTCCCCACGGCACTGACATCAGATTTTATCATTTTTATTTATTTTTGCTCATTTAATAGGCATCTAATCATACCTTGAAGTTATTTAATTCCCATTTCTTTCATTGCTAGTGAGACTGGGCACACTTCTATGTCAGGATTTATCGTCTGCTTTTCCTTGTGTGTAAACAGCTCATCTCCTCTGACATCTTAGCAAGAGAAATCTGGGGGCCGACCTCGTGTATTTACATCAAGCCTTTACGTACTTAAATAGTACATTTTTCTCAGTTGTGTCTGCCATTTTTTATTCAAAAGGAGGTGACCAATTGTGAGGTGGATGCTATCTCGTCCCATGTGGGTTAGGGATGAGGGGGAATTGAGACGACTTCTAGATTCTAGAGTGATTTAAAAAATTTTTTTCAGAAGAAAAAAAAGCCAGACATATGGCACCCCCTCTCTGGGCCCCTATCTTCCTAGGAAAGGAAGGGGTGGGCTGAGAGAACAGCTAGTTGCCAAGGCCACTCTTTACAGGGGGCGGGCCACTGCACTGAGGCTGGGCAGCTCCCCGTGGTCACGTGGATTTCCTGGTCCATTATTTTCTCCCACTCACAATATGGCCATGAGAGAAACAGCAACGTATTCAAATCAGAATCATCATTCCAAGTTCTGACTAATCCCCAGGAGAGCGCAGTGGTTAAGGGAACAGGTTCTGGAGCAGACAAACCGAGGTCCCCAACCCAGTGCCTATGTTTACCAGGCGTGTGGCGTTGGCAGGTTATAACCTCTGTAAGCCTTGATATCTTTGGCTATAAAGTGGTGCTTCGGTTATGGCTGCATAAGAAACTACCCTGAAACTTAGTGGCTAGAAACAATGACTGTTTTATTGTATCTCAGGATTTTGTAGTTCAGGCATTCAGATGGGCTTGGCTGGGTGATTCATCTGCTGCACGTGGCATTAACTGGGCCCCTCAGCAGTATTTAGCTGGCGGCTGGGCTGGGCTAGGGCTCCAAGATGGCTTTACTCTTCCATCTGGCTCTCCACGGAGTCTCAGGTGGTCTCTCCCACAGGGTAGTTGGACTTCTAACATGGCAGCTCAGGGCTCCAAGACAACAAGAAGAAGCTCTCACTGTCTTAAGGTGTGGGCTAGAAAGCGTCCCAGCATCACTTCCACCATATTCTACTGGTCAAGCAGTCACAGAGCCTGTGATGTGACGAGTGACAAAGAATTTGGGGCCATATTTAATGTGCCAAAAGTGGGCAGAAAAATCCTCACTCCTGAGGCTGTGAGGATTAAAGGAGATAATGCATGCAAGAGGCAGATTTACCATGAAGCTAATGAAACTTCAACCACAGGGCTCCTTAATTTCATAGTCTCTTCCAAGTCCTAGCACCTAATTTCGTATTCATAATTTTTCTTTCCCTTTTCTTAAAGAGGACCCCCAAACTGTATAAGAATCAGGCCCTACAAATCCTGGCTCTGTCCCGAATGCTTGTAGAAGTACTCATTTAGCATACTGCCTGGCACAGAGGCAGTGCTCACGACAGGGCCCCTCCATGCTCTCGGCTGGTGCCTGGTCGCCTGTCTGTGCCTCAGGAGAAGCATCCTCCTCTCGCTCTGTCCCTTCCATTTGTTCAGGATCATTTCTTCTTCTCCTTTTTAAAAAGTGAAAGTAAAACATACTGAGAATAATTTCATAATCATAAAACTGCCCTCTCAGTTGGCCCCTGCGTCTACCCCCTGACCTCACCGCCCACCAGGGAGGTGGGCCTTACCCTGGGCATAGTGCCAAGTTCTTAGCTCAGCCCTCTAGAATCTCCAAAGGAAATCAGGCTGAAGAGCGGGAAGCCAGCAGGGGGAGGCAGCATTCCCGGTGCCCAGCTTGGTCTAGGAGGCATTGAAATTCCAGGGCCGAAGTCTTGAGACAAAGATCATAATGAGACAGGAAGGTGGCATAGGAAGGAGCCCATTTGCATGACAATAATTGAGCCAAGAATAGAAAGCTAGAGAGATGCAAGGGTGAGGCTGGCAGCTGAGCTGGGCTAAACCTCACAAATCAGACTACCCAGCTCTGCTCTGCAGGGGAGGCGGGGGCTGAGCCCTGTGCCAGGCTTTGCAGGGTGCGGAGGAGGAGTGGGGAGGGAGGACGTGGCCCCAGGGGATTGTGGGAATGCTGGCTAGGCTGGACTTTGCCCTGCTCCTCCTCCTTCAGCCCAGAGCCTGCCTTTGTTCGCCTTCTCCTTTGTGGTGGGCTCTGTGGCTGCAGGACTGACTAAGTGGGCATCATGGCTGCTCAGAAAGTTCTCTATGATGCCATTGTGATCGGGGCAGGCATCCAGGGCTGCTTCACCGCATACCACCTGGCCAAACACAAGAAGAGGGTCCTCCTGCTGGAGCAGGTACTGTGTCCCCTCTGTACTCCTGACCTTAGGGACTGTCCTTCTCTCCTCCCCTAGAGAGGGGTTTCCAGAGCCAGCAGGCTATGGGGCGAGGCCAAAGGGCCTGATCATCACAAGTTCTGTGCACTTTGTAGCTTAGCTGCCTGGTGTGTTTCATGACAATGCACAGAAAGTTTCACACTCTCTAAGACCCACATTGGGTTTCTAGGCACATTTTCTCCTTTTACTGCCTCCCAGTTCCTGCCCTTGACCAAGAAGTGTCCCAGGCCCCATTCTCTACCTTCTTGGCACCCAGTCTCTTCTGTGCCAAAATGGTTGATCTGGCCCAGAAAAATAATCAGTTCTGCTTTGGGTAACTTTAAGTAAAGAGAAGTTTGCCTAGACGCAAAGGCTAATTTGTCAACCTAAGAGGTAGGAATCTTCGCTGCATATTCTGGCCTCTGGCCCTGGAACCCAGCAGAGGCTTCTGTTTTTTCTGTGACCTCTGGATAATAGCAGCTTCCTTTTTATTTATTTATTTATTTTCCTGAGGAAGATTCTCTGTGAGCTAACATCCCTCGCCAATCTTCCTCTTTTTTTGCTTGAGGAAGATACGCCCTGAGCTAACATCTGTGCCAATCTTCTTCTATTTTGCATGTGGGTCACTGCCACAGCGTGGCCGCCAACGAGTGGTGCAGGTCCTTGCCCCAGAACCGAACCTGGGCCGCCAACGCAGAGCACACCAATCTTAACCACTAGGCCACAGGGCCGGCCCCAGTGGCTTCCTTTTTGATACATAGGAAATAAGACTTAGGTCTTATTTTTCCTTATAAAAAAGATGACCCCATGCGGTGCAGTCTACTGTGACAATTGCACATGTGGGTGGGCCTGTATACCTACAAGGTCCTTTCCAGGGCAGGTCCACCCAGCCCACCTTCTAGAGGTTTCTACCCTCTCATTCTGCCTACAGCTATTCAGGCTGGTTTTGGTTTATTCTTCTTGGTAATGAGCTGGATTGGTTAGAAACATTTTTCATTTCTCTATCAGTTTCCTCAAAGTCTGAGGGATTTCTGTCCAACCTTGCGAGAAACTCTCCATCTTTTGCTAAATCCCAAGGTGGTTTCCTTGTCCCGAGTGATATGGAGCCACAGAGAAATAGTCAGCATCAGCTTCCTTGTCCATAAAACGAGGGGGCTAGACTAGAATGAGCCCGGAGTTTCTTTCTAATTCTGCTTCTCTCTGAGTCTAAGCAGGATGACTAGAGACTAACCAGCAAAGGAACTTGGGGAAGTAAATGATGTTAGCAAAAAGGACACTGAGTTAGTGCTACTGAAGAACTTCTATCCTTCTATCCTGATAGCCAAATCAATAACTTGGCCATAAAAGGAGAATGTATGGAAATATTTGAAGAATAAGTGCTCCTGGTTGACAGCACATGATGAGCTGGCTCTTGGGGGCGGGGGGGGGGTGTGTGTGTCTGTATGTGTGTGTAGTGCAAGGGGTGACAGCTTCAGTTGACTCTCTTGTTCTCCACTTCCAGTTCTTCCTGCCACATTCCCGAGGAAGCTCCCATGGGCAGAGCCGGATAATACGAAGGGCATACCCTGAAGACTTTTACACCCAGATGATGCATGAGTGCTACCAGATATGGGCCCAGCTGGAGCAGGAGGCTGGAACCCAATTACACAGGTTGGCAGGGAGGATTCCTTGAATCACGGGGCCTAGCACCTCCAGGTGCTTTTAGTATGTGAGGGGGCAGTGCCACGAACACTTGAAATGTAATGGAGGGACACAGGGCCTAGAGAAGTGCCAGACACATGGACATATTCTGCTCACTGTCATTATGATCACCCCACAGATCCAGCTGGCTCCTGCCAGACTCTGAGTTCCAGGACTGGGTTCAGACCATGTGTCCCAGGCTGGCAGAGGTTGTACTGGGAGAACCACTGGAAAGACACTGTGGGCAGATACCCAAAGCTGGAGTTTGTAACTACATCTCCGTGGAGCCATCTGAGACTCTTTTAGGGAAGGGATTGAGATAGAAGAGGAGGCTGCTCTCTTTTTTTTTTTTTTTTAAAGTTTTTTTTTATTCAATTTTTCCCCCCCAAAGCCCCAGTAGATAGTCGTATGTCATAGCTGCACATCCTTCTAGTTGCTGTATGTGGGACTCGGCCTCAGGATGGACGGAGAAGTGGTGCCTCGGTGCGCGCCCGGGATCCAAACCCGGGCCGCCAGCATCGGAGTGCGCGCACTTAACCACCAAGCCACGGGGCTGGCCCTCTTTTTTTTTTTTTAAAGATTTTATTTATTTTATTTTTTGCCCCCAAAGCCCCAGCAGATAGTTGTATGTCATAGCTGCACACCCTTCTAGTTGCTGTATGTGGGACTCGGCCCCAGGATGGACAGAGAAGTGGTGCCTCGATGCGCACCCGGGATCCGAACCCAGGCCGCCAGCATCGCAGCACGCGCACTTAACCACCAAGCCACAGGGCCGGCCCTGAGGCTGCTCTCTTGATTCTTTATATTCCTACTAGTATCAGAACCTTTCATGCTGGGTCCTCACCCCCAGAGTGACCCCTATAAATCCATTTCATTCTCTCTGAATACCTCTTCCCATAGGAACAAAATGGGGATGCTCCTCAGGCCCCATTGCTTGCCAGGGATGAGCCTGCAGATATTTCCCTGTTGCCCTTAGGGCCTTCTCTCCCCTTAGGACTCCCCTCCCACTGACCTTTGAAATACCCATGGGGAAGAAGGCAGACAACTCCTGATACAAAGAGAACTTTAGCTACCCATCCCTCCTCCCCTCCCACCTTCTCTGTGGCTCTTAACTGAACTTCCTACAAAACCATGGCTCTACCCTACAGGGTGGCAGTTATTTTAATGGTCAGGAACCAAGAGGTTACTGTTCTGTTGCAAAAACACCATTAACTTAAGAACCAAGTGAAATCCATTATGTAAATACAGCTAGGGCAGCTAATTACAGATTTATTCCCGAGGCAGATAATGCACCCAGCACCCAAATAAAGGAGCATGTCTTGCTGAGGGGTAGCCTGGCAAAGGGACCCCTCTCTGTCAGCCATCTGTGAATACTGCTGAGTATCTTTCTTGTGCTAAAAGAACTGCTGAAATCTTGGAGGGCACACTTCTTTCCAGCAGACAAGGAGGCAACTAAGAGATATTAGGAGAGTATCTGGAAATCTTTCAGAGGGAAGACGATTCTGGACTCAGACAGGCTTGAATTTGACTTTGTGCTCTACCTCTTACCAGCTGTGTGACCTTGGAAAAGTTTCTCTACCTCTCTGTGCCTCATTTTTTCTCATAGTGAGGATTAAATGAGACTCTTATGAAATACTCGGCACAGTGCCTAGCACCTTTCAATAAATGCCAGTTCCTTCCACCTATTCTGGGTCAGCCATATCCTATCTCCATTGAGCACGAGAGGAAGAGAGGCAGGAGGAGACAGACGAGATGCAGCAGCTGTGGGCATCAAGGGGAATGGCACTGGAGGGAGGGATAGGGAGCCTTGGGCAGAAAATTCTCATAACCTCTTAGGCAGGAGGTCAGGAATTTGGAAAGGCTTTGGAACCAGGCAGCCTGGCTCCACATATCAGCTCTGACACATTTAGCTGTGTGGTTTGGAGCCAGCTGTTTAACCTCTGCGAGACTTTTCTTGTCTGTAAAGTAGGGGTGATAATATCTATGTCATGGGGCTGTTGTGAGGATAAGTATATAAAGGGCTTAGCATAGTAACTGACAAATCATCATCATCATCATCATCACATATTTAGTGCTTGTAATAAGAAACTAAGGCTGTTCTTTTTTTTTTTTTTTAAAGATTTTATTTATTTATTTTTTCCCCCCAAAGCCCCAGTAGATAGTTGTATGTCATAGCTGCACATCCTTCAAGTTGCTGTATGTGGGACGTGGTCTCAGCATGGCCGGAGATGCGGTGCGTCAGTGCACGCCTGGGATCTGAACCCAGGCTGCCAGTAGCGCAGCGCACGCACTTAACCGCTAAGCCACGGGGCCAGCCTGTAAGGCTGTTCTAAAAGTATTGATACGTGTTAACTCGTTCAAGTCTCCCTACAACCTTATGAGAGGATTGCTGAGTAGTCAAGGTCTTAACCCGTTAGTGCAAATCACAGGATTACTATACTCTTAGTTTAGAACAGGGCTTGGCAAACTTTTTCTGTAAATGGCCACATAGTAAGTATTTTAGGCATTGCAGGCCATATGGTCTCTGTTGCAACTATTCAACTCTGCCAGTTACTCAATTCTGTCATTGTGGCGCGAAAGCAGCCACAGATAATATGTAAACAAATGATCATGGCTGTGTTCCAATAAAACTTTATTTATGGACACTGACATTTCATATAATTTTCATTCCATGAGATATTATTCTTTTGCTTTTTATCAACGATTCAAAACTATAAAAACCATCTTGGCTTGTGCGACAGACAAAAACAGGTGGTAGACCTGATGTGATCCCTGGGTTGTAATTTGCTGGCGCCTGACTTGGAAGATACCACGAACTGGTTACCTTGTCCATTCTCTGTCTCCAAACAAGTTCATGCCTAAATCATCCCAGGTCAAAAGACTGCTAACGTACATTTAAAGCGAGGGACATATCAGCAATCCTCTTAAAAGACCATTCTGCTGCCTCACAGCCCCAATTATGAACGATGAAAAGTAAAGTGAATGTGCTCTGAAAAACCTTTAAAGTTCGATAGAGTGCTAGATATTATTATTATTATTGTATAATTATTATTAACAAGTCCTTTCTTATGGCTAACCTAATTAACTCAGGCACACTAATTTATTTGGTTCTTTTACTTAGGGACACAGAACAGATGCTTCCCATTCCAAATCCTGTAGCTTTTGTTCTTAATTCTGATTTTCTAAATGATTCATCATCTTTGTGATTCTTATTCTCCTAGATTCTTCTGGAAGAACCAGCATAATATCATAATCTGACAGATACGAATGTATTTACTTAATGCTTTTTGATGATGATTTAAAAAACAACACCTTCAGGAGTTGGTAGTTAATGTGGTTGTTCAATTCTTTTCATCCTGTTCCACCGCTTCCTGTGACAATGGCATGCTAAACATGGCTGGGTTCAGGATATTTGCATATATTCTGGGAACAGACAATGACATGTGTGTCCGATCACAAGGTCTGAATCTTTGTGATGTGTGCAGCCAGGACACTGATACCAACAGCAAATCCCAGCTCTGTGGCCCATCTCTTTCCCGCCCTGCCTTTTCCCTTTGAGTCCTGCTATCTAGCTCCTGACCCGGGCTGCCCCTGCTTAGCTGACAATATCAGACAAGATCACAGCCGTAGGCAGTACAGCTGCTGGCAGAACCTGGCGGCCCCCTCCGCAGCTGCTGCTTCCTGTGTCTGCGAAGTGTCTGGCTTGTCAGCCGCATCCCCTCCCTGGAGCAGTCTTTGTTAACCAATTCCACCTCGACCCACTGAGCGGAAGATGAAACGCCAAGAGCTCCTCTGAAACCAACCAAGACAGCAGCCATTACCAAGGCCCGATTCCAGTCCCTTCCCCAAGGTGACTCTGAGAGCTGGCTTGCCTGGCACTTTTAACCCAGAGACGGGAAAGCTGGAGCCTGGGATGGGAGATGGCAGAGGCAGGGAGAGCTGTCGCCCCTCCCAATTCTTCCCCACTCCATCCTGCCTCCTGTCCTGCTGTAGTAACTCGTGGAAATCCCTGATCACCACTCCCTACATTGCGTCCGAGGCTTTAGTCGGGCCATAGAGGAGTCAACAAGGCCCTTGGGAGGAATCTTCCATTACCTCTTCCTGGTGCTGGATGCAGCTAGGGTTGGGAGGAAGGCACAGTTCATACCGAATGCTTTGCACTCAGCTGACTGCGTTCTGGGAGTCAGAGCCGCATGCTATTCAGGGTTCCCTGACAACCCAGCCTCGCTTCAAGGTGCCTTCTTTCTAGGCCAGCCCTGACCAGTCATTTCCTGGACATTTTTTTTTTCCTGCGATGTCTTTGTCCCTTGTCACTCTTCTCCTCCCCAAACTTTGTAGCCTAGGTCTGAGCAGAAAAAAAGAGGAGAGGGAGGCCCAGAGCAGAGGGGTGAGAAATTGATGCAGAATGAGCAATCTGTTTATTGGGATCTAGGAAAAGCCATTAAGAAAATAAGCACTTAAATGATTTTCAATCTGCCCATGGAAGTCATCTATCTTCATATGGGGGGAAAAGGCCCGTTCTCTCATCCCGGTTTTGATTGACTGATTTCCAATTCTCTAGGCATTTCCCACAGGAGCCTCTCACCTATCTCCGTAATGACAGGCCTTTGCATTTCCAGGCAGTGTTTTACATTTATTTCCGATTTGCTCATAATGGTCAAAAATCTCTCTCCAATCCAAGGCATTTCTCCAGCAGTGCACGGTTTCCCTCAGGCCAAATAGCTCAGCTGTGATCCACGGAAAATGAGAATTTCCCAAACGCGTCTTCGGACTAGGGGAGGGTCCAGCATCACAAATTCAGATGGAAAATTTCCTACTGTTAGATCAATATCTGGGCTAAAAAATAAATGCCACAGGGGCAGAGAGCTGGAGCAAAATGATTACAATCAGCACAATTACATTCACTGGCAGAATCAGCTCGCTGATTACTCCTAGGGATGGGGAGCTGCAGCTTCATCCACCATAGGATGGCTTGGGAATTAAATTTTATTTATTTATTTATTTATTTTCCCCCCAAAGCCCCAGTAGATAGTTGTATGTCATGGTTGCACATCCTTCTAGTTGCTGTATGTGGGACACGGCCTCAGCATGGCCAGAGAAGCGGTTCCTTGGTGCGCGCCCGGGATCTGAACCCGGGCCGCCCGCAGCGGAGCGCGCGCACTTAACCGCTAAGCCACGGGGCCGGCCCTGGCTTGGGAATTAGAACATTGCTCAGCATTTCATAATTCGACAGATTTGCCCATTGTCTTGGCATGAGTTCATTTTCCCCATACAGTACATTTCTGTAAGAGGAGTTCTTATTTCAAGGAAAGAAGGAAGGAAGGAAGGGAGGAAGGAGAAAGAGAAAGTAACTAAATTTCAGAGTATATGAGAGATGCGAGCAGGGGTTAGAATATGCTGCTCTGGAATTTCCGGGCTAGGGATCTGACATTATGGCTGCTGAGGTGAGGGTTAAGCCGGGTCTTTCCCTGAATTCTTCCCAGCCACAACTCCATCAGGTTTGGGTTCAAGAACATAAACTTGAGTGACTTTGTAATTATCCTGTTGACCAAGAAGTTTACTAGATGAGTTTTCATTACCTGAGAACCAACCTGAAGTCCTTTTTGGGACCACAGGAAAAAGACTGTCTACGGGCTATGGGGATTTCTACAGCATCTTTCCTCTGCTGAGCTTTGAAGAGGCAGCGGCATTCGTTGCTTTCTCACCAGTGGTGAATGCTGGGTAGGCGGGGGCCATGGCAAATGGATTGGGCACGCTGCGCAGCTCTGTGTACTGACACCGGCCCCAGGGCCCGCTGTGTCCCTACCCCCTCACAATCTTCTCTTTAATCCCCCCAACCAGATAATGTGGGATTTGGAAGCATGTAATATCCATGAGACTCCATTATAGGCTATTACGAGCTTTATACGCAGTACCTGGGGGATGTACCAGGCTGACGCTGGTCACTGCAGCTGCTGAAACTGAGGGGGACTGCAGGAATGGTCCCAAAGGCCAAAGTGACCCTTCCATTGTTAGCTCAGTTCCCACAAAAAGGGAGCTCTGGTCTATTGTGACAGAGAGATGGAAAGCATTAAAGAGAAACAGCTTTTACTCCCTTAGGGACTAAGAAGCATGGAGGGAAGTATAGAGAGAAACTAAATCATGGAATCACTGAATTAATTGTTGGAGCCCGAAGAGATCATCAACTGGTGTTTCTCCACGACAGTGCTATTGGCATTTGGGTGGGATCTTCCTGAGCATTGCCAGTTTAGCATCCCTGGCCACTAAATGTGAGTGGCAATCCCCAGGCATTGTGACAACTGAAAAAATGGCCCATGCCATTTCCACATGCCCCTGGGTCGAGGGTGGTGCCACCTGGTGTGGAGCCACCAACAGTGCAACAGGTGTGTGTTACAGAGGAGGAATCTGGGGCCTGGAGCAGTGAGCAATCAGAGCAAGGTCACAGAGGCGAGGCCAGGACTGGACCCAGAGCCAGATCTCCCACTTCGGGACCCTTTCCACAAAACGGGCAGCCTCTGAGAAGGAACCAAGAGATAGACACACAGGAAGAGACAAAACGTTATATGACAAGAAAAGGGACAGGGAAAAGAAACAGCAGGGGCGGGGTAGAGGAAAAAGAGGACAAAGAATAGAGATCAAAATAGGGAACGGGGTCAGGGGACAGGAAGGAGGGGAAGAAATCTTATCAGACTCATGGAACACCTACCACTTTCCAGGTGTGGAGATCAAAGAGGACTTAGGATCTCTGCCCTCAAGGGCAGGATGGATGCTGAGGAGGGAGGATGGAGGGACAAGTAAACCAATAGTGACAACCAAGAGCAGACTTGGGAATGGGCTGGAAACCAGCTCCGTCATACAGAGACTCTTAGGACAGAATAGGGATGACTTTACCTGCTTTTTGAACGTGAGGCCAGGACTTTCCTCAGTGCCTGCCCTGGGACCCTTGCTGAAGAAAGAGAGAGAATGGCCCAGGGCCCCGACGTATACTTCACCCAGGTGTCCCTTTTTTTTTACAGGCAGACTGGACTACTGATGCTGGGAATGAAGGAGAATCCAGAATTAAAGACAATCCAGGCTACTCTGTCTAGGCAGGGGGTAGAACACCAGTATCTCCCCTCTGAGGATCTGAAGCAACGTTTCCCCAATATTCGGTTGGCCGGGGGAGAAGTGGGGCTCTTGGACGAGTCTGGAGGAGTTCTCTATGCGGACAAGACCCTCCGGGTCCTCCAGGTAATATTGTGCGGCACAGGGGGTGATGCAGCTCCTGCTCTGGGCATCCTGGGTCCCAGTCAGCTATCTCCCGACCCCCTGCTGGATGAGAGCCTTTGCCCTGCCAGCCTTGGTCTTGACCTTTGGGGCAGGGCCGTTGTATACACCCTGCTAGGCCTTGTCAATATGGGAGAAGACGTCTAGATTCTGCACTCTCTTTTCTGCCCTAAGTAAAGGACTCTGTCCACCAGGGTGAACCACATAAGATAACTAATTCGCCCTTCCCCGCTCCTGCCCTTTCAGGATGCAATTCGACAGCTAGGGGGCACAGTGTGTGATGGAGAGAAGGTGATAGAGATAAAACCTGTGCTATCAGTCATGGTGGGAACCACCTCCCAGAGCTACCAAACCAAGAGCTTGATCATCACAGCAGGTCCTTGGACCAACCGGCTCCTCCGTCCCCTGGGACTTGAGCTGCCTCTCCAGGTAAAGGGAACTGGAAGCCTGAGGGTTGGTGCTTAAGAGAAGAAACCTTGGAGCCAGATAGACTCGAGTTTGAATCCTGGGTCTGTCACTTGCTAGTGGACGACCTTGGGCAAATTCATTCACCTTACTGAGCCTGTTTTATAACCTGTAAAATGGGAGAGAGGACTGTTGGAAAATTAAGTTAAATGATATATGTAAAGCCCTTAGGAGACAGCCTGGCCTATAGTAAGCACTCAGTAAATATGAGGTATTATTAACACCTGGAGAGAGAGAAGTAGGGATGGGTGCAGTTATGGGAGAAGTCTAAGAATGGGGAACGAGACAGAGATTCAGAGATTTTTGTGCATCACAACAAAATGTAACATGTAAATGACATGGGAATTGGGTGAAACAAGGATGGATGAGGTAAGCGGGGCATCCGGGCTTCTATTAAAGGGCTACAGGACCTCAGGAGAAACTGCTCCATTGTCTATAGAGTTGCCTGGCTTTCCCCTCATCTCCCACTTCCTCTCTCTGCCTCAAGACCCTGCTGGTCAATGTGTGTTACTGGCGAGAGAAGGTTCCCGGAAGCCATGGTGTGTCCCAGGGCTTTCCATGCTTCCTGGGCCTCGGCCTGGCTCCCCACCACATCTACGGGCTGCCCTCCAGAGAGTACCCAGGGCTGGTGAAGGTGAGTGGAAAGGCCGAGAGAAGGCTAATAGGGGCCCACACAGATGTGGGGCAGCTGCTCCAACTTCCCTCTCAACACACACCCTCAGATCCTGGTGGGCAGCAGCAGGAGCCTACTTCACTATTGGCTATTTGCAATGCAAGACCACCACCACGCCCGCCCCCCCTCCCCGCCGTCCTGAGGCCCAGCAAAGGCAGCCCTTCTTTTGCAAACACAGGGTTGGCGGGGGAACGGACAGCTAGGCAACCTTGTGTGGCAACAAGCAGCCCCTGTCAGGACTGGGGAAGGCTGGGATGATGGATGGGGGCATTCTGTGTGTAAGCCTGCTCCCCGGGCTGGCTGGGTGTGTGGGAAGGCTGGCCCTCACAGCTCACACCGCTTGGATTGGGAGCCAGGTCTGCTATCACCACGGCAACAATGCAGATCCGGAGGAGCGGGACTGCCCTACGGCATTCTCAGACATCCAAGACGTCCAGATCCTGAGCCACTTTGTCAGAGGTCACTTACCTGACCTGGAGCCGGAGCCTGCCATTATGGAGCGCTGCATGTACACGGTAAGGGTGTGGGCAGCTGGGCCAGGCCCTCCCACAGCCCTGGAGAACAGGGCAAGGAGACAGATAGGCGTTGTACTGCTCAAGCCTGACTCGGTTCGACCTCTGACATAGTATGTGACTCGAAACAAATGAGCTCATTTCTGTGGGTCAGTTCACCTCCACCAGAGAGGGCCTATTGGAGGTTATTCATATTCCTTCTCATTAGGAAACTAGGCTTATGCCTGGCAGTCCTTCACTATGTTTCCCAGAAGAGCTCTAAAAGATTTTTTGGCAAGATGTTCTAGTTGAGCAGGCCTTAGGGACAAAGAGAAGACACAGATGTCACCAGGGCCTGAGGCAACTTGGCTAAAGTTAGTTTATATGCATTAACTGAGTACCTACTGTGTTCATAGCTCTGTACGAGAAGAGAGGCAGATGGACAAATGAAAAAGATTGGCATACCCAGAGGGGGCACTGGCTTGCAGAAAGCATTCCTGTGCCCCATTCCCATTCTTTCTGGAGAGAAATCCAGCCTAGTCCCCTCCCTTCTGAGCCTGCAGTTCTTCCTCCTTCTATCCTCAGAGGACACAGATATGATTGTTTCTTTCTAGAACACCCCTGATGGGCACTTCATTCTCGATCGACACCCAAAGCATGCCAACATTGTCATTGGTGCTGGATTCTCTGGTGAGCCCGAGCAGGGGCATATGGGGTGCCTACCTTAGTGCTGGGCAAAATGGTGTTTCCCACACTCTTGCCTTGCCAGATAGGGACCAAATCCTAGAACTTGAGTGTATAAGGGGGCTGGATGGGGCAATCAGAGAAGGAGTCCTAATGGCAGGAGGCAACTTACGGCTTTGGGATGCGACCAAGAGGAGAGTTGGCTTTACCTGGGGACTGCATAGTGGACTTCCAGAGAGCCTAGGCTCTGTCTCTGAGGATGCTTGACAACCCTCTCTCCTTTCCCTAGGGCATGGATTCAAACTGGCCCCTGTTGTGGGGAAGATCCTGTATGAATTAAGCATGAACTTAACACCATCTTATGACTTGACACCTTTTCGAATCAGCCGCTTCTCTGGCCTGGGCAAAGCCCACCTTTGACCCCTGGCTGGCAGCCTTCCTTCCGTGCACAGGAGCTGGGAATAAAGCCCTCTGCTAAGAAAGGCTTCTCAGATGAAAGAAGTGGCTGGGACATATCACCCTTTTCTCCTGCCTCTCTTGAGGCCCCTGTAAGCACCAGATGATTGAATCTACCTTCTTCCCCGGGCCAGCTCCCCAATCCCACTACTTTTTTGCTTCCTAAAGGTGAATCAGATATTCTCTAATCACAGAGCAGCAAGGACCTTTGAGATGGATGTCTCAGTAAGGAGGGGCATAAGGACTGGCTCAGGAGACGACAGCAGCTGTTAAAAATCTCTTTGCTGGGACATTTGATGAACTTGGGCTGGGTTTGACTACAGCTGCCCAGGGGAGGGTAAACAAGATGATTTGCAGATCACTACTGCCCTTGGAGTTCCTTTTCTTAAAACTGGAGCCACTCTCCATCACAAACTCCCACAAAATCTGGCTCATCTTCGGTGCACAATAAATGTTTGTTGAAAAAAATTTGTTGAACAAACAGATAAATAACTGCATTGCATTAAAGTCTGTGGTGGGCTTTATTTTCCATGTGACATTATTTCTCACAGACTTTAATTGTCTCAGTCAGCACCACAGAATCCATTACCCCAGGAGTCCTTGGGGTCTTTCTCCCCTCAATGCACTGCACCTTCTTCCTCTGGATTCTTTGTCTGCTTCTCATCCTCTCTCCGGCTCTGTAAAGATGCTCAGCTCCCCAGTCTCTCATTAAGGTGTATTGTCAGGTTCTTATGAAGATGGAGCTGTTATACCAGAAAGAAAGAGAGAGACACACTCACTTAGAAACCCCGTTCAATGTTTGAATGTTAAATGTGCCATTTTATTATCATTAGGATTGCTCCCACTTAATGAAACGGCATTAGTGCCGAGTCGGCTGGCCTCCTCGCACTAATTGCTTTGGAAAGGAACAGGCTCATAACTACCCCAGGGTGGGTGGAGGGTGAGGCGTGTAAACAGGGACTCCGAGGCTGACTGCGCTCAGATGAAACCCAGGCAGGAGGACCTCCAGACCAGGCCACTTTGACCCGAGAGAACAGGAGTTAAAGTGCTCTGGGGAGAGAAAAACTGGGGCCGGGTGGGGTGGAAGTGTTAGGAGGAGTCACTGAGAGGAGAAGAGTGGGAAATGGGAATAAGAGTAAAAATGTTCCCAAAGGAAATACAACACAGAGGAAATTACTCTTCAACTGCCTTACAGGCCTAGGCATGTGGATTAGACTGATTTCTCCAGGGAATTATAAAAGCCAGCCAATCCCATCAACTTCACACCCAATCTGCTTTTTAGGTGCTCTCAGATGGTTTCCTGAACCTCAGCCTCTGTAAAGTGGGAATAATCATGTCTGTAAAATGGGAAGAACACTCAACATGGATGAACCTTCACGACATGATGCCGAGTGAAATAAGCCAGACACAAAAGGACACATATTGTATGGATCCACTTGTATGAGGTACTCAAAGTAGTCAAATTCATAGACACAGGAAGTAGAATGTTTGTTTCCAGGGGCTGGGGGTGGGGGGAATGAGGAGTTAGTGTTTAATGGACACAGAGTTTCAGTTTGGGAAGATAAAGAAGTTCTGGAGATGGATAGTAGTGATGGTTTCACAACATCGTGGTTTAACACATCACAAACACAAACGTGGTTTAAGTGAATGTACTTAATGCCACTGAACCATACACTTAAAAATGGTCCAAGTGGCACATTTTATGTTACGTATATTTTACCACAATAAAAAAGTGGCACTAGGGGCCGGCCCCGTGGTGCAAGCGGTTAAGTGCTCGTGCTCCGCTGCTGGTGGCCCGGGTTCGGATCCCAGGCGTGCACCGAGGCACCGCTTGTCAGGCCGTGCTGTGGCGTTGTCCCATATAAAGTGGAGGAAGATGGACACGGATGTTAGCCCAGGGCCAGTCTTCCTCAACAAAAAAAGAGGAGGATTGGCATGGTTGTTAGCTCTGGGCTGATCTTCCTCACAAAAAAAAAAAAAAAAAACTTCCTCACAAAAAAAAAAAAAAAAAAGTGGGACTAATACTACTGACCAGCTCTACGGGAGTGTGTGAGGATCAGATAAGATCATTCATCCACTCATTCATCACACAAATGTTTATTGAGCCTCTGTATGTGCCAGGCACTGTGCTGGGCACTGTGGATGGATCCATGGACAAAGCAGATGAAAAGTTCTGCTCTTGTAGCGTTTGCAGTCCAGTGAGGAGAAGACACGTAAACAATATGTAGAAGTAAATTGCATTGTACATTAGAAGGTGACAAGTGTGTTGGGGACAAAACAGAGCAGAGTGAGGAAGATAGAGAATGCGGGGAGAGAGGCTGTCCTTTTCGATGGAGGTCAGAGTAGGACTTGCTGAAGAGGAGCATTTGGGCAGACTTGTAGGAGAGGGAGTGTGCCATGCAGATATCTGGATGTATGTAGGAGTGTGGCGAATTGCAAAGCAAGGTATTGTGTTATCGCTGAGAGGGAGAGAAAAATGAGGTACTGAGAGGCTTCATTGTAAGATCTTGCCAGCTCCCAAGTTGGTGAAGTTGGGGAGAAAGGATGTGGGAACCTCTCCGTCTCCTTCACAGCGGTCCGCAGTTCCCTCTGCCTCTGCCTCTCTCAGTGTCACTCTCCTCCCCCAGCCAGCTGCAGCTCCCCTTCCAAAATATCCAGTCTTATTCAGCTTGCTGGTGACAGCTAAAGGAGGGGACCAACGTCTAAAGGAGGCTGAGAAAGGACAAGTGGGGGATGCTGACAAGCCCTGCTGGAGCTGGCTAAGGCCCTTACAAATGAGCCGGTGTGTGCCAGAAACAGGGTGCAAAGAGGGGCAGGAGCAGGGGCAAGTGTGGGGGAGGACGGGTGTGCATGGGAGGGATGAGGTCAGGGAAGAGTGGAGAGAAATAGGAATGGATAAGAAGAAACTGGCCGGCCGGCCCCGTGGCTTAGCGGTTGAGTGCTCGCGCTCCGATGCTGGCGGCCTGGGTTCGGATCCCGGGCTCGCACCGACGCGCCGCTTCTCCGGCCATGCTGGGGCCGCGTCCCACATACAGCAACTAGAGGGATGTGCAGCTACGACATACAACTGTCTACTGGGGCTTTGGGGCAAAAATAAATAAATAAAATTAAAAAAAAAAAAAAAAAAAAGAAGAAACTGGCAATGTGCAGGCCAAGAAGGCAGGCAAGGACCTCCAGGGATGCTGCACACCCCCAAAGCCTAAGGAAATGGGCCTGGAACACCCAAGTGGGAGGAACTGAGCATGTCTTATTGGCAGTGGGGTGGGAGCATAGACCGGAAGAGGAGATATAGAGAAGAGTCTCCAGGCACAGAGGAGAGGATAGCCATTGTCGAAGGGGTCGGAGGACAACTTGAAGGTGTTAGTAACATTGACGGATTTGCCAAGACAGATATGTCAGGCAGACCCTACATATCTTCAAGATGGGAGAAAATCAAAATAAATGTGGCGGGCAATAAGAGACCTCTGGAAGGGCAGCTGGGGTCTGCACAGGCTGCGGAGGAGAGATAAGGGCAGCGAAGAGAAAGAGGCCAGCATGGTTGCCAACCAGACTAAGGAAAACAGAGGCAGGCTAAAAATAGATTGGGGGTGGGGAGGGAGGCGAGCCAGTCCAGAAAAGAAGGGAAGGCGGAGGCAATCCATGCCATCGCAACTCTGACCCAGTTCTTCATCTCTCAGCCTCAGCAAACTGAAAAATTGGGGGGTGATGGGGGAAAGGGGGAATATTGATACAGAGAGAGGAGAGTCAGGGGAAGGTAATTTGAGCCCCAAGACGTAGGCAGTTATGGGGTACAAATCAGTAAACACGATGTGGAGAAGAGGAGGTACAGAATGTAGTTAGCATGAGTTAAACGCCCAGCAGAGTTTGGTCTCCCACAACAAGTTTAAGAGAAGAGTGTGAGTCTTAACTTGGAAGGAGGGTGAGCTGTCTAGAAAGGTAAAAGGAGGCAACAAGGACGAGTTAGTCTGGAGACAGCAGGCTGGAGAGTGACTTGATGCCTGCATTTTACTTCTCAGAGTAGTGATGAAAGAGAATTTGGTTATTGGTTGTTCTATTTCAATGGTGGTGCAGCAAGAGAGATTTAGGTTAGACCTCAGGAGATCCATCCCACTAAGTAGATTTGTGAGGTATTAAAACATGCATATAAGCACTCTTGTGGTATTCTTTTCTTGGAAATCTTTAAAAATGAGAAGCCCATCTATTTGGACCTATATAGGCTTGCCTGAAGGCCAGGGCCTCCCCACAAAACCTCTGGAAGACTCTGGCTAGAGAGGAGAGCTAGGATTTTTCTTATCCTGGAGGCAGGGTCTGAAATGGGTATCTGGGCAAGGGCCTAAGGCAGGGTGAATGGAAGCACTGGGGGGAAGGGGAGGCACGAAGCAGGCTGGATCTGTCAGGGGCGGGGAGAAGCAGCAGGAACAAGGGGCAAGATTCTAACAGGTAGGACCCAGTGGCATTTACATAACTTTGAATAATGAATAAGCCCGGCTCTGGGGCTCCTAGTCAGCTTGCTTATCTGCATCTTTATTAAGCTTTATAAATGATTCAGCTCCCTACCCCCTCCCCCTCACCCCTGCCCAGGCTGCCCCAAGCATCAGGGTAGTTGATTGCTCATTATTTTAGCCAAGATTTGTTTCACCAACATTCAGTGAGGCACGGAGTGGGGGACACAGGAGGGAGGAACAAATCCAAAAGGCAAGTGGAGTGGAGGGGTAGAAGAGCGAACAGGAGCAGCAGCCGTGGGATGGCAGGCAGGCAAATGGCTGTGAACTAGGGACACAGGTATAATTCTCTAAAAGGTTCCTGGGGCCAACATCTTCAAGAGAGAAAGGTTTTGTAGATTCCCCAAAATGTGCTGGGTTCAAGTCCCACTCAGTCTCGGGTTTCCTTTACATCTGCTGCCAAGCCCCCGGCAGGCCCCCCACACAGCTCCGGTGCAGCGCTGAGCCACTTGAGCAGCCAAAGGAGTAAAGCCCCCAGGGAAGTTCTCATTTTTTCCTGAGGCAGGACTTTTGCTATTTTCACGCAAAAAAAAAAAATCTGCCATGCTTGCAAGGCAAGAACAGGCACCAGGCATATTAGGGGAGAATGAGATAGGAACAGGCGCACGTGATATGTGAATTTGTAGGGAAGAGGAATGCTTGTTTCCACAGACAGTTGGAGCCCACCTTGAAAGATGAGCCTGGAGAAGATGGGCAGCCCTCCAGTCATCCAGGTAGACACATTAGTGCCAACTGCTCTGGGAGCCGCCTGGTCTACCGGCTAGAGGCAGAGAGAGGTATTTAACAGCCTGGATAAGGAGTTGGCAGGAAGCTGGTAGGGGGAAAGGTAGAGCTTTTCTCAACCCTGGCTGCACATTAAAACCACCCAGGGAGCTTTAAAAAATATGATACTTGGGCCCCACCCAAGACCGATTAAAGAGGAATCCCTGAGAGAGAAGGCCCTGGACACAGTATTTCTTAGAAAGCTCCTCAATGTTGTTTGATCCTGATTTGAACAAACTAACTTTATATTTATAATTTATTATATTTTATATTTATATATTAATTATAATTATAAATTAATTTATATTATATTACATAAATTGTTATATTAATATATATATTTTAATATAGAAAATAAAATCAGGGAAATTTAAACATTGGATATTTGGTATTAAGGAGTTATTGATAATTTTTTTAGGCGTGATAAGAGTATTGTGATTATATTTTTTTAGAGAGTCATCATTTTTTTTGAGGGATAGATACTAAAGTATTTCTTAACAAGGTGATATTATATCTGGGGTCTGCTTCAAAATAATCCAGTGAAGGGCCAGCCTGGTGGCATAAGCGGTTAAGTGCATGCGCTCCGCGGTGGCCCGGGGTTCGCCGGTTCGGATCCCAGGTGCACACCAAGGCATTTCTTGGCAAGCCGTGCTGTGGCGGCGTCCCATA